TCCCTGCTTTCCAGGGATGAAGCCTACTTGGTCATGGTGGATGATTTCTCTGATGTATTCTTGAATTCGGTTTGCCAGTATTTTTTTGAGTATTTTTACATCGATATTCATCAGGGATATTGATCTGTAGTTTTCTTTCTTAGTTGTGTCTTTGTGGAGCTTGGGTACCAAGGTTATTGTGGCCTCATAAAAAGAGTTTGGCAATGAACCTTCTGTTTCTATTTTGTGAAACATTTTGAGGAGTAGTGGTATTAGTTCTTCCTTGAATGTCTGGTAGAATTCTGCACTGAAGCCATCTGGCCCTGAACTTTTTTTTTTTTATTTTGGTTGGAAGGCTTTCGATGAATGCTTTTATTTCATTACGGGTTATAGGTCTATTTGAGTTGTTTGTCTGTTCTTGGTTTAATTTTGGTAAGTGATAGTTATCCAGAAACTTGTCCATTTCCTTTGAATTTTCAATTTTTGTGGAATACAGGTTTTCAAAGTATGATCTGAAAATTGTCTTGATTTCCTCTGTGCTCATTGTTATGTTCCCCTTTTCATTTCTGATTTTGTTAATTTGCATGTTCTCTCTCTGCTTTTTCGTTAATTTGGATAAAGGTTTGTGTATCTTGTTGATTTTCTCAAAAAACAAACTCTTCATTGCATTTATTTTTTGTATTGTTTTCCTGGTTTGTAGTTTGTTGATTTCAGCCCTCAAGTTGATTTTTTCCTGGCGTCTACTCCTACAGGGTGAGTTCGCTTCTCTCTGTTCTAAGGCTGTCAGTGTCACTGTTAATTCTCTTATGTGACTATCCTCTGTTTTCTTCATATGGGCACTTAGTACAATGAGCTTCCCTTGTCCCACTGCTTTCAAGGTGTCCCATAAGTTCGGGTATGTTGTGTCTTCATTCTCATTGAATATTAGAAAGTCCTTAATTTCTTTCTTTATTTCTTCTTTGACCCAGGTGTGGTGCAATTGCACATTGTTCAGTTTCCATGAATTTGCAGGTTTTCTGGTATTTGTGTTGTTGAATTCCAATTTTAAAGCATGGTGGTCTGATAAGATACAGGGGAATATTCCTGTTCTCTTGTATCTGTCGAGGTTTGTTATGTCACCTAGTATGTGGTCGATTTTAGAGAAGGTTCCATATGGAGCAGAGAAGAAGGTATATTCTTTTGTCTTTGGATGGAATGTTCTATAGATGTCTGTTAACCCCAGTTGAGACATAACTTCTGTTAATTCTTTTGTTTCTTTGTTGAGTTTCTGATTCGTGGTCCTGTCTAGTGTTGAGAGTGGTGTATTGAAATCTCACACTATAAGTATGTGAGGTTTTATATGAGTTTTGAGTTTTAGTAGCGTCTCTTTTACGAATGTGGGTGCCTTTGTATTAGGGGCATAGATGTTTAGAACTGAGACTTTGTGTTGATGGATTTCTCCTGCAATGAATACGAAATGACCGTCTTCATCTCTTTTGATTAATTTTGATTTGAAGTCTAACTTGTTAGATATTACGATAGCCACACCTGCTTTCTTCTTGGTTCCATTTGATTGCAGAATCTTTTCCCAACCCTTTACCCTGAGGAAATGTCTACCTTTGAAGCTTAGATGTGTTTCTTGTATGCAGCAGAAGGATGGATTCTGTCTTCATATCCATTCTGTTAGACTGTCTTTTTATAGGTGATTTAAGACCATTAATGTTGAGGGTGTGTAAGGACCATTAATTGTTGATGCTTGTTTGTTTTATGTTTGTTGTTGGCAGTGGTATTGTGAATATATTTGTTCTGCTTTACCCTTGGTTTCTGGTATAGTTGGATTATCTATTGCCTACATTTTTATGGGCATAGTTACCTTCCTTGGGTTGGAGTTTTCCTTCCAATACTTTCTGTAGGGCTGGATTTGTAGACATGTATTGGGAAAATCTGTTTTTTGTCATTAAATATCTTGTTTTCTCCATCTATAGTGATTGAGCGTTTTGCTGGATATAGTAGCCTAGGCTGGCATCCGTGTTCTCTTAATACTTGTAGAACATCTATCCAGGACCTTCTGGCCTTGAGGGTTTCCATGGCGAAGTCAGGTGTAATTTTGATAGGTCTGCCTTTATATGTTACCTTTCCTTTTTCCTTCGCTGCTCTTAATATTCTTTCTTTATTCTGTATGCTAGGTGTTTTGATTATTATATATCGAGGGGTCTTTTTTCTTTGGTCTAGCCTATTTGGTGTTTGGTATGCTTCTTGTACTTTCATGGGCATGTCCTTCTTCAGATTGGGAAAGTTTTCCTCGATGATTTTGTTGAATATGTTTTCCGCACCTTTGAGCTGGGCTTCCTCGCCTTCCTCTATGCCTTTTATTCTTAGGTTTGGCCTTTTTAAGGTGTCCCACATTTTCTGGATGTTTTCTGTTAAGGATTTGTTGGATTTATGATTTTCTTTGGTCGATGAATCTATTTCTTCTAGTTTATCTTTCACACCTGAGATTCTCTCTTCCATCTCTTGAATTCTGTTGGTTATGCTTGGGTCTGTAGTTCCCGATTTTTTTCCCCCAGTTTTCCTATTTCCAGCATTCCATCGGTTTGTGTTGCCTTTATTTTCTCTATTTCAGTTTTCAAGTCCTTAATCTGCTTGTTTTTCCTAGGCTTTCTGTACTTTCTTTACTTTCCTTAAGGAATTTGTTCATTTCTTCCACTTTTTTGTTTGTTTTTTCCTCCATTTCTTTAAGGGATTTTCTCCCATCTTCTTTGAGGGCCTCTATCATTTTTATGACGGTAATTTTTAAGTCATTCCCTTCTGCTTCCTCTGCTTTGTTGTTGTGTTCTGTTCTAATTGGTGTAGATTCCCTAGGTGTTGGTGGGGTCTCTCCCTCTCTCTATGGTACTTCCCCAGTGGGCTTATGTGAGTCAGATATTCAGTATCTGTAGCTCTGGGTGGTCCTAGCTCTATAGGAGGTCTCTCTGCAGACAGGGACCCAGGGATGGGGTCAGGGCTGAGGATCCAGTAGAAGATGCCTCTAGCCAAAGGCTCTAGCCAGTGGCTGGCAGAAGAGGACATAAGCTGAGCTGAAACTTGGGAAGTTTATGCAGGATAGTGGGATCTCACTGGAAACTGGCACTCTCCAGCTGAGGCCTCTTTCTTTAGCAGAGGCCCTGCATTGGGGGTCAAGGATCTTGCTGGCGGGAACTCAGAGTGGACCTGCAGAGATAGGTGGATCTCTGGGAGGTGCCCGGACCTTCAGCAGAGGACTGGAGGTGGGGTCAGAGACCAAGCAGGTGGAAATTATGGGTGGTCCCGCGTGGATAGGCAGGTCTCCTTTGTTCAGATTTGCTCTGAGAAGTCTCTGAAATAGTGTTTTCTGTTGGTTCCACCCTCTGTCCCAATGCTCATCCAGAGCTGCAGAACAGTGGGCAGGGTAAGGCACAGGGTGGGAGGGCCAGGCTCTCAGTGGGGATGGGTGGAGGTGTATCAGAACTCCAAGGGTGCTCTCAATGGGGACAGGACACAGGAGCAGTGGGATCAGGGGCCAATCCAGGGAGTTGGGGGGAAGGGGAAGAGGTTGTACGGGAGAGGCCGCCCCCATTGAGCCCAGACTCACCTCTAGCCAATGGCTGGTGGAAGAGGACAAAGGCTGAGCTGAAACTTGGGAAGTTTTTGCAGGATAGTTGGATCTCACTGGAAACTGGTACTCTCCAGCTGAGGCCTCTTTCTTTAGCAGAGGCCCTACTTTGGGGGTCAGGGATATTGTGGGCGGGAACTCGGAGTGGACCTGCAGAGATAGGCAGATCTCTGGGAGGGGCCCGGGCCTCCAGCAGAGGACTGGAGGTAGAGTCAGAGACCAAGCATGTGTAAATTATGGGTGGTCCTGCATGGATAGGCAGGTCTCCTTTGATTAGATTTGCTCCAAGAAGTCTCTAAAGTAGGGTTGACTGTTGGCTCCACCCTCTGTCCCAGTGCTCCTCAATGATACTTGTTTTGCTAAACGATGCTTAATCCATATCAGAGTTCCACCATTTTATCAGAAAGGTGTCTGTTGCAAATCATGTTCATTGCTGTTTCATGGGCTTTCTAACAGCCCATGATAATAATACTACTCAGATAATACCTGAAACTTCCTGCTTTCTAAAACATAGCTTAATGACAAAATTTCAAAAGGAGTTCAGAAAACAAAGTGTTTAATCTATATTGTTCATCACTTAGGTTGAATGGGAATTTGAGGACTCAGTAGATGTTGGTTGGCCTTTTCAGATTAGCATTTGTTCTGAATGATTCTTAGGCTATAAAGACCTTGAGTAAATAGTTTACATGTTAGATATTTGAATCACACAAAAGTGAAACTTTCGTAACACTAGCTCCTTAAAAACCCAATTTTTCTTTTAGCTAAAATGAATGTCTGGTAGAAATTTTATGTTCTCCTAATTGGAGTTTCCTTTATTATTAATATTGCCATGCCACACACAATCCAAATTGAATCTATCTATAGAGAGAAAATATTGACATATTCCTTTCTAAAAGTCTGAAATTCCACATATAACTTGCATCAAAGACTTGAATAGAGGCCTGTTTCTCCCTTTCTATGTGTCATGTCTATGTGTCAGGGTTATTTAAATTTTAAATACATGTGACAGTGTACATATAATGTCACCATTGCTGCAAACATGGGCCACTCCTAGCAAATGTTAGGGATGTTGTGTGAAAACTAATTTATTGGGGGAAGGAAGCACATTGGTTCTTTTTATCTCAGGACATTCTTCTGTAATCTCCATGTGAGCTGTCACAATAATCTTTGCCTATGGTTCTTTTGAGTAATGTGGTCACTGACTGGTCATTAAAATATCACCTAGCAGCTACATTGTGCCATTTCTGGAGACAGAGAGGGGTCTTTGTATAGAAGTCTCCCTTCTGTTCTGAAGCATACAGAATGAGGTATTCTCCAGGAAAATCTGTCAAGGACAGTACATAATTACAATACTGTTTTTATGTAATCAGAAAAAAACATTAACTTACTTCCCTTTGCCTTTGAACTCTAGGTATCAATACCTGTCCAAAGGCCAGTCCACCTCATACAATAAGCAACACAACCACAGAGGCTCAGGGAATAAATGGGAGGACACCAGCAAAACGCTCAGCTGCAAGTCCAAAGCCAAAAGGTTTGTATTCTGGGGCTCTGTGACTGGTCAGGTTTAAGAGCTGCACAGAAGAATGAATACAGATAATTTGAAGTGTGTGTATACCTGCTCAGATGGAAACCAGTGTTTGCTCTGCTCCTTAGACAAGGTTCTTTATTATAATGCTTTGCACATTGTTGTATTGCTTTAAAATTTCATTGCTAAGGCTTTCTGAAAGAAATCATTAAAATTAGCTTAACATATAACCCACTAGACTCTGGAATTCTGGCCACTGCTGTGTTCATAGTGGGATGAAATATAATTGTCAAGCAAAGTCAAATAACTGATGACTTACAAAACAAACATATTTGTGAGCTTGTCGCCTTTAATTCTGGCCTTATCTCCCTCTAAAATAGTAAAGTGACTATAGACATAGAAAGTTTTTAACCATAACATAAGCTATTTTATATGGAAAATACAAGACAACACTTTGCTCTGTGGACCTAATTTGAAAGATAAAAAATGAGAGTAAACTGGAATTAATGTAGTTCTGATTTTTGTAATTGCCTAGATTTTTAAAAAGTTTGATATTTAAAAGGTCTTGCAGCTTTGCTTGCTTTTGGAAGATGCATTGCTTGACTACAACGTTTTCCAGTCAGTACACTGAGGAAACCACGGCAGCCATCTATCTACCACTCGCCAAAACAATCCTGTAACCTAAGGAGACAATTATGGCCTGATTTTTGTTGTTTTGTAGTTTAATGTTTAAATCAATGTATTTCTTCCTTAATTGTTATTTACTCCACATCTTAAATGCAGGCTAGTTATGTACAATTTTTTTTAACTATAGGTACTAACTAAATGACAAAGTAGATGATTTCTCAGAACACTCTTTCTTGTTCATTGGCCCTTACCTGGTACTCATGGCTAAAATTCTAGCCCATCTTTTACACTGAATGACTCTTTATCCTCCCCCCCCCCCCGTGTCTTTGCCTATCTGGGCTTCATATATATATATATATATATATATATATATATATATATATATATGATTCATATGAAATAGTATCCATAGCTTGAGGTCTCTCTGGGGTTTCTTTTTTTATTTAAAAAATTTTTATTTTACATACCAACTCCAGTTACCCCTATTTTCCTTCTCCCATTCTTCCCCCACCCCCATATCTACTCCTTAGAGGGCTTAAGGCCTTAACTAGGATTGCAGACCAATCTTCCTCATGAACATTGATTCAAAAATAAATACTCAATAAAATACTGTCAAATCAGATCCAAGAACACATCAATTAATCAATAAATAAATAAATCATTTACCATGATCAAGTAGGTTTCATCCCAGAGATTCAGGGATGGCTCAACATATAAGAATCTGTCAATGCAATCCACCATATAAATAAACTGAAAGAAAAAAAAATCACATGATCCCATTAGATGCTGAAAAAGCCTTCAACAAAATCCAATACCCCTTCATGAGAAAGGTCTTGGAGAGATCAGAGATACAAGGAACATACCTAAACATAATTAAGACAATATACAGGAAGCCAACAGCCAACATCAAACTAAATAGAGAGAAACTCAAAGCGATCCCATTAAAATTAGGAACAAGATAAGGCTGTCCACTCTCTCCATATGTTTTCAGTAAGACAATAAAAGGAGATAAAGGGAATATAAATTGGAAGGGAAGTCTTCAAACTTTCACTATTTGCAATGATAGACAGTATACATAATTTCCCAAAATTTCTACCAGGGAATTCTTACAACTGATAAACAAATTCAGTAATGTGGCAGGATACCAGATTTACTAAAAAAAAAAAAAAATCAGTAGCTGTCCAGCTGTCCTATATACAAATGATAAATTGGCTGAAAAAGAAATCAGAGAATCAATATTCATGAGGAAGATTGGTCTGTAATTCTCTTTCTTAGTTGTGTCTTTCTGTGGTTTGGTATCAGGGTAACTGTTACCTCATAAAAAGACTTTGACAGTGTTCCTTCTGTTTCTATTATGTGGAACTACTTGAGGAATATTGGTATCAGCTCTTCCTTGGAATTCTGGTAGAATTTTGCACTAAAACCATCTGGCCCTGGGCTTTTTTTGTTTGCGAGACTTTTAATGACTGCTTCTATTTCCTTAGGGGTTATAGTTCTATTTAAATAGCTTATCTGGTCTTGTTTTAATTTTGATTTGTGGTTCCTATCCAGAAAATTGTTTATTTCTTTTAAATTTTCCAATTTTTTGGAGTACAAGCTTTCAAAATATGACCTAATGATTCTCAGGATTTCTCTAATGTCTGTTGTCATGTTCCCCTTTACATTTCTCATTTTGCTAATTTGGATATTCTCTCTCTGCTTTTTGGTTAGTTTGACCAAGGGTTTGATTTTTCTCAAACAACCAACTCTTTGTTTCATTGATTTTTTTTTTTTTGTACTTCCCTCTTTGTTTCTATTTTGTTTAATTCAGTCCTGAGTTTGATTGTTTCTTGTTGTCTACTCCTCGTGGGTGAGTTTGCTTCTTTTTGTTCTAAAGCTTTCAGGTGTGTTGATGAGGGGCTAGTGTGAGATTTCTCCACATTCTTTATGTAGGCACTTAGTACTATGAACTTTCAGTTTAGCACTGTTTTCATAGCATCCCATAAGTTTGGGTATGTTATACATTCATTTTCATTGAATTCTATGAAGTCTTTAATTGCTTTCTTTATTTCTTCCTTGGCGCAGTGGTGAAGCAATTGAGCATTGTTCAATTTCCAAGGGTTTGTCAGCTCTCTGCAGTTAGTTTTGTTGTTGAATCTGAACTTTAAGCCATGGTGATCTGATAAGATATAGGATGTTATTCCAATTTTTTTTTTTTTTTTGTATCTATTGAGGTTTTCTTTGTTACCAAGTATGTGGTCAATTTTATAGAGGATCTATGAGGTGCTGAGAAGAAGGTATATTCTTTTGTGTTTAGATGAAATGTTCTATAGCTGTCTGTTAAGTCCCTTTGAGTCATAACATCTATTCTCTTATTTCTCTGTTAAGTTTCTGTCTGCTAAACCTGTCCAGTGTTGAGAGTAGGGTGTTGAAGTGTGGGTTTTGATGCATAATTTAAGCTTTAGTAATGTTTCTTTTACAAATGTGGGTGCCCTTATATTTGGGACACAGATGTTTAGAATTGAGATTTCATCTTGATGGATTTTCTCTGTGGTGAATATGAAAGGACCTTCTTCATCTCTTTTGATTAATTTTAGTTTGAAGCCTATTTTGTTGATATTACAATAGCTATACCTGCTTGTTTCATAGATCCATTTGACTGGAAAATCTTTTCCCAACCCTTTGCTTTGAGGAAATATCTGTCTTTGAGGTTGAGGTGTGTTTCTTGTATACAGCACAAGGATGGATCTGTTTTTTTGTTTTTGTTTTGTTTTGTTTTTGTTTTTTTAATCCATTCTGATTGCCTGTGTCTTTTTATAAGTGAATTGAGACCACTGATATTAAGAGATATTAATGACTAGTGATTGTTAATTCCTGTTACATTTGATTTTGTTGTTATTGGTGGTGGTGTTTGTATGTTTACCTTCTTTGTGTTTTGCTGATGTGAGGTTATCTGTTGCCTGTGTTTTTGTGAGTGCAGCTAACTTCCTTAGATTAGAGTTTTCCTTCTAGTAATTTCTGTGGGGCTGGATTTGTGGACAGGTATTGATTAAATCTAGTTTTATCATACAGTATCTTGTTTTCTCTGTCTATGGTGATTGAAAGCTCTTCTGAGTATAGTAGTCTGGGCTGACATCCATGGTGTCTTAGTGTCTGCAGAATATCTGTTCAGGACCTTCTGGCTTTCAGAGTTTCCATTGAGAAGTTGGGTGCAATCCTGATAGGTCTGCATTTATAAGTTACTTGTCCTTTTTCTTTTGCAGCCCTAAGTATTATTTTTTTATTTTTTATATTTAGTATTTTGATTATTATATGGCAAGGGGACTTTTCTTTTTGGTTCAGTCTATTTGATCTTCTGTAAGCTTCTTGTATCTTTATACACATGCCCTTCTTTAGGTTGGGAAAGTTTTCTTCTATGATGTTGTTGAATATGATTTCTGTTCTTTGAGCTAGACTTCTTCACTTTCTTCTGTCCCTATTATTGTTAGGTTTTGTCTTTTCATAGTGTCTCTGATTTCCTGGATATTTTGTGTTAAGAATTTCTTAGATTTAACATTTTCATTGAGCAATGAATCTGTTTCCTCTATTGTATCTTCAACATCTGAGATTCTTTCTTCTGTCTCTTATATTCTATTGGTTATGTTTGCATCTATAGTTCCTGTTCATTCACCTACATTTTCACTTCCAGAAATCCTTCAATTTATGATTTCTTTTTTTTTTTTTTGCCTCTATTTCAGTTTTCAAGTCTTGGACTTGTTTGATTGTTTTTCTTGGTTTTCTTAACTTTTTTGAAAGATTTTTTGATTTCTTCTAAATTTTTGTTTGTCTTGTCCTCTATTTCTTTAAGGGAATTTTCCATTTCATCTTTAAAGGCCTCTATCATCTTTGTAAAGTTATTTTATTTATATAGTTTTTATTTAAATTAGAAATGATCTTATTTTATATATCAATCCCAGTTCCCTCTCCCTCCCATGCTCCCCACTGACCACCATCCCATAAAAAGGGTGAGGCATTCTATGGAGGACCATCAAAATCTGTCACATCATTTGGGACTGGGCCTAGGCCCTCCCCCATGTGCCTAGGCTGAGAGAGTATTCCTCTATGGGGATAGGGATAAATACTGATCTACTACCAGAGGTCCCATAGACTTCCCAGGTCTCCTAACTGACACCCACATTCATGGGGGCCTGGTTCTGTTCTATGCTGGTTTCTTAGCTGTTAGTCTGGGGTCCATAAGCTCCTTCTTGTTTGGGTCAGCTGGTTCTGTGGATTTCTCCAGCCTGGTCTTGGCCCCTTTTCTCATTACTCGTCCCTCTCTACAACTGGATTTCAGGAATTTGGCTCAGTGCTTAACTGTGGATCTCTGCTTCTGCTTCCATGAGCTACTGGATAAAGGCTCTAGGATGGCATATTATAAGGTAGTAATCAATTTCATTATAGGTGAAAGGCATTTAGGATAGCTTCTTCACTACTGCTTAGAATCTTAGTTGGCATTCTCCTTGTAGATCTCTGGACATTTCCCTAGTGCCAGATTTCTCTTTAGACCTATAATGACTCCCTGTATTAAGGTATCTCTTTTCTTGCTTTTCTCTATTCTTCCCCTGACTCAATCTTCCTGATCCCTCATGTCTCCCTTTCCTCTTCCTCATTTCCCCTTCTCCTTCTCCTAACTCCCTCTCATAAAGTTATTTTAAAGATCATTTCCTTCTGCTTCATCTGTTTTGGGCTATTCAGGTCTTGCTGACATAGGACTACTGATTTCTAGTGGTGTCATATTCCTCTTTGTGTTGTTGAATGTATTCATACATTGCCTTCTACACATGTCTTCCTCCAATCAGTACAGGCCTATATGTCTGGTGGTGTTTGGGGCCTTTGGCTGTGGTGTTCACTAATGTGGTGGAGGATGGTTTGTGGAACAGGCACTGCTGCCTGGTAGCTGGAGGTGCAGGTTGAGTTGGGGAAAAGGGTTGGGGCTAGGGCCTGGAGAACAGGGCTTTCCAGCAGGGTGCTCAGATACTCACCTGTCTCTTAAGGTGTGGGTAGAGATCTGGTGGTTACTGGCTAGGGGGTAGATGGGGGATGTTTGGTGGATATGTGGCTGCTGCCTGGTCAGTGGGAGTGCTGGGGGTAACGGACAGGTGGAGGTCCAATAGTCCCAGGTGAGATGACAGCAGGGAGGGGACTAGGATGGTTGGTGGGCTAGTTACTGGGGGGTGCCATGGGTTGAGAAGGGGCAGGTGCTAGGGGCTAGTGAGCAAGACTCTCCAGCAGGGATCTCAGAGATCCACCTGTCTTTTCTAGTATCCCCTAGGATGTATTTTTAAGATGGCTTCATCCTATTCATAAACAGTAGCCCAGTGTCCCTCCCCTAAAAGTTATAAACTTGTAATATTACCTTGTAGTAAAAATTAGATAGAATTGGTAAATGAAAACCAAATTAAAGTGATTCTGGAAGTGGAAAACTCAATAAAGCAAATAAAAAGCCTCATGGATAGAATATAGCATGTGGAAAACAGTATTAGATCTTAGACAAAAGGTAAAAGAATTAGATCATTTAGTAAAGATCAATGACAAAAAATATGAGTGGAACATGTGGTAGCTTTGAGACTCCTTGAACATCTTGGCTCGCAGAAATATTTTTAAAGGAAAATTTCCAAGCCTAGGAAAGAAGATGCCCAACTAGGTTCAAGAAGCACACAGAATGGGTTGCCTTGCCCAACTATAATGGGATTGTTTTGTTTTATCTTATATTTTATTTGTCATGTTTGGTTGTTATCTCTTAGAAGCCTGTTCTTTTGTAGTAAGAAACTGAGAGGGAGTATATCTGGATGGAAAGAGGATGTAGGGAAGAACTGGGAGGAATAAAACAAAGGGAAACTGGTCACTGGCTCTCATTTCTGTTAACTCTCCTTGATTTCCTGGCTTCTTAGTTTTTTAGTCTGTAGACTTTGGTATAATATATAATTACATTGTCTGTCTTGATTGCTTAGTATTCTTCATTTTTAAAAACTGTTGTAGATACTTTGGATTTAGAATGGCTTTTACCTGTGCATCTTGTTACTGTCAGAATTTAACAATGAAGTAGGGAAAGACTGTAATTACATTCTAAACTCATTCAATGCCAAACCAAACCCACAAATGAATTTATGTCTTTATTTCTGGAACTAATATACCATCCAAAGTACACAGATACAAATAAAGTGGAGAAAGAAGAACTTGTAGTGTTAGGGTTCTCCATTCTCATGGTCTCTAATACCAATCATGCTTGTGAGTTTTTATATCAGCGTAGAATAAGGTGGGTTCATCTGGGAAGAAAGAATATTAGCTGAGGAAATACCTCCACAGCACAAGCCTGTAGTCCAGTCTGCGGGACATTTTCTTCATTGGTGACAGGGAGGGCCCAGCCCATTTGGATAATGCCTTGCCTGCCTGGTGGTCCTAGGAGCAGGTTGAGCAAGCCATGAAAAACAAGTTAGTAAGGTGTAATTCTCCATAACCTCTCCTCCAGCTCCTGCCTCCAGGTTCCTGCTGTTTTCCTGCCTTAGCCCCGCTCAGTGACAGATGTAAAATCTGTAAAATGAAATAAATCCTCTCTTTCACAGGTTGTTTTATGTCATGGTGTTTATCAAGTAATAGACACCCTAAGACACCAATAAAGGGTGTGTCAGAAACTATGGCTCTAGGCTCTTGCCTACATGACAGCCTTTATCTGGTTTTATAAAATATACCCCAGACAAGCTCCTTTAGGACTGATAGTTGCAGCCCTTGGAAGGGAAAGCTGGTTTCCCAGGAATCAAAACTTTGACTTCTTTGAGGCCCTGGCCTCAGCCCCAGCCCAGCCCTTACCAAGTCTGTCCCTGGGAAAGGATACAGAAATAGTGTTCCCCTTATCCTTTCATCAGGGCCCCTGAGACAGCCTGGATCAGTCTGGCTTCCAACAATATGTATATTAGAATCACCACAAGAAAAGAGTACCTCAGAAAGCAGTTTGATCGGGATTTTTTATACTAAATTAGATAAAGAGAAATAAATTATGTAAACATAAGAACACCAGAGGTCTTTTCCATAGGATGTTGGAGGAAACTAGAAAAATGAAAGTTTAACAAAGTTTGTTAACATAGATTTTCTCATCCTTAGCCTTCCATGAATGATGATAAGAATGTTACTTCCCTTCTCATGTATGATGTACAAACACCACAGGTAAAAAGGACAAGGTCAAGATATTTCTCTAATGCCTTTGCATAAAATAATCCTTATGACAAAGTGGGCATTATTTGGCAAGAATATTCCACTTTGTATACTACCATGGATACTTCATATAAAATTGCTGCTATTATAATATTTTTGAAATAATCATAGTAAATATTTCCCCATTTTTATTGAAAAGTTTTTTACAATATGTTTTACCATATTTTCTTCCCTAAACTCCTCCTATATCTTTGCCATCTCCCTGCCCACTTCCTGTTCTTTCTCATAAACAAAACAAAAGAAAGCATGGTGGTACACATCTTTAATCCCAGCACTGGGAGGCAGAGGCTGGCAGATCTCTGAGTTCAAGGTCAGCCTGTTCTACAGAGTGAGTTCCAGGACAGCCAAGTTGTTACACAGAGAAACCCTGTCTGAAAATAAAAAAAAAAAACTTTTTAATGTTATTATGTTATATTGTTGTTGTTTTGCTGTTCCTTAGGCTTTTGTATTGTTTAGCTTTGAAGCTCTGTGTGTAGGATAACTACAATCACTCTGTTATTAGAAAATCTGCATTGTAAAATACACTGTATTTATAGCACTTAGTTTTTAATATATCCCCTTTTCTCTGTTTGGGCAAATAACTGATCTTATGTCTGTCACAATGTTTAGGATGCTGTAGTCTTATAAAAGCGTGCATGCGTGCGTGCATGTATATCACAAGTATATATCTATATAGATATATAGATATAGATAGATACATATATAATTACATAATTTCAGTGAGATCTGGAGAAATACCACAGTCTAAATAAAGTTCTCTTTGTTTTAGGTAAGTCCCAGTTTGACAGCCCCCTTTATATTAGCTTACTAATGCTAAAGATGTTTGCATCCACCCAGGATGCCAGAATCCTTGCTGTTACTATGAATGCTCTTCTTTTTCTACAGTGCCTCCAAAGCCATTATACCTACAGAATTTACCTTCATCCCACACACCCCAAGTCCCCAGGCATAAAACTTTTCCGAGTGCAAAACCAAGGATGGAGGAAGCTAATCTGACCCCTACTTCATGTGCCTCAAAAGGAAAGCCTGGTAAGGTGTCAGATCTCATCAGCCACTTTGAAGGAGGCAGGTAAGAGCTACTGTGTAATGGGAGAGGGTGGGGAAGAAAAGATGGCCTTAATAGCTTACTAAGTTACCCGCCTTTAACAAGTACATTTCAAAAATCAATTATGTGATCTTACCCTAGTAGGCATTAACGCTGTTTCTCATTTCCTGTGCTGTTCTGGTAACTGCTGTGGCCATGCTGTCCATGCTTGGTGGTAAGGCCACCATGTCATCTCTGATTCCATTATCCTCACTCTCTCTGAGGACCTGACTCCTCTGTAGTCTTTCTGACCCATTTTTGTTTAACGAGAGGCTGCCATACCAATTCAGTCTGCTCCCTGTTCCTATTGTCAGAGTATTACAGAGAGACATCATTACTAAACACAAAACTCGTGCTAAATACCCATTTTATTCTTAGAATATATATATATATATATATATATACATATATATATATATATAATCAATATTTTATATTTGAATCTTTAGTTCAAATGTGGGCAAAATGTGTTTTTGTCATGAAAAAATAAAAACCAAATCCATATCCTTTTCTACTTGTACTACCTAAATTGTTTTATCTTAGAATTATTTATGTCACTAAAAATCTAAATAAAATATATATAATTTCACTTATATAAAGCCAAATATTTTTTCTCATTCAGGTATAACATGGAGAGATAATTTCCCATTACATGAATCATTTTTAATTTTTTTATTTTACTATTTTATATGCATGGATGTTTCCTGTATATTATTACATGAACTTTTATATATGTATACATATGTGTGTGTGTTTATGTATGTAAATATAGTGATATTATAGCTCAGGAATATTTGGGCGATATCCTGCGAAGCATGAGAAAGCAAAAAACTACAATGTCTTTCATTTAAAATTAAAAATGTAAGTATAAGCCAGCTGGGGGCACAAGCCTATAATTACAGCACTCAGGAAGCAGAAGCAGTAGAATGGAGAGTTTAAAGAGAGCCTAGGCCCCGTTGCAAGACTCAAAAACAAAACAAGAAACTAAAATGTAGTATAGTGACAAAATACTATGCTTATTATAATAGTTAGAACTTCTGGAGAAAAGTGGTTAACAGCCTGTCTTCAGGTTTTATTTCTAAGCAGTTGTGGTACCTTCTTTAAATCCTCCAATGCCTCCAAAGGGAATTTGTAATGCCTTTTGGATAGCTGAAATTGTAGCAATATTAAAGGAATGATTAAATTCCATTCAGTGTTTTTTCTTCTCAGTGAGGATTGATTCAGAAACAGAAAAGAGGTCCTTCCAGTTTTCAGATTCTGCAGCCACCACAGTGACTGCAGAATATAAGATGGGCTGAAGCCCGAGCTGTAATGAACATCCCAGGGTTGGGGGAGACTTCAAAGCAGTCAACATTCCTAAGGCTGAGAGGTCTCTAACTTGGATCAGTTTTGTGACCTATTCCTTGCATTGTTTGAATGTATCTCTTCAGATAAACTGTGTACAGTTTCTGTCGTATATGCAAGGAAGGATGTGCTATAATTCATGGTTCTAAGCATACATAAGAGACAATGTTGATATGTGGGCAAGGCTTTGCAGGGTTCTTCTGCTTGTGGTGGAATCCATTACCAGTAGCAACATGGGTCTGCTGTCATACAAGCAGTGCCAGTGTTGTGGCACTCAAATTCACTGGAAAAGCCCAAAGACTCAGACTCAGTTCAGATTTAAATTAAGCTAACTTATTCTTACTGCTAGCAGAAGGATAGCAGCCTTAGAGCCAATGCAGCAAACCATTTAGAAGGGAGGTGAAGGTGAAGTTTCAAGGAGGACATCAGAAAAGTGTGCATTACAACTACCCATGGAATCCACAGCCAGTCAGGAACATTGTTTTACTTCCCTCGGTTGCTTCTTTCTCTCCCAACGTATAATAATAAAAAGACCATTTCCTCACTTTCCCATAGCGATAGCAAGTTTTTTGTTTGTTTGTTTGTTTACAAAAGCAAAGGCAGCTATTAAATCTCATAGCCCTTTATCCTATTATTTCTTTTTTTGAGACAGGGCTTCTTGGTGTAGCCTTGACTTTCCTGGAACTAGCTCTGTAGACCAGGCTGGCCTGGAACTTACAGAGATCCATCTGCCGTTGCCTCCCAAATGCTGGAATTTTCCTAAATGCTGGAATTTTCCTATTTTTTACTCAGCTGGAGGCCACTAGGCTCTCCTGGCATTCCAGAACCAAAGGTCAATAGCCCAGAACCAAAGGTCAATAGCCCATATGCCCTGCTCCATATTAAGTCTCTTTAGTCATCACAGGGGACCTGTGTAAATTATCATTAAGGTCTGGAGCACTGTAATGACTAAGGTGGAGCAGTTCATTTCCAGGCTGGCAAAAACACAGTGCCATTAGGGCAGCTGCCATGTCCCCACATCAGGACAGCCAACCCTGAAAGGGCCTGCAAAGTGTGTTGATACTGCATTTACTTTACTGTTGTCCTCAAGCTGGTTTACCATTTTGACCCTGTTGTCACAGCCTACTATTTTGTAGCATAAAAGGAAGCCACTGGGTTCTAAATAACCAGGAGGGCCTTGGAAGCTCACATATCACTGCTATAGGGGACAGTAGATGAAGACCAGTGAGCAAGAGAAGTGCTTGCCCCACACACCTGACTACCTGAGTTAAATTCCTAAACTCAGGCTACAAAGAGAGAACCGATTCCCAAAAGTTGTCCCCTGACCTCCACAGTGCTCCATTTAGCCCATGTGCTCGCTCTCTCTCTCTCTCCCTCTCTCTCTCTCTCTCCCTCACACACACACACACACACGCACGCACGCACGCACACACACACACACACACACACACACACACACACACCAATGATAAATGCTTTTCAAAGGACCAGCTGAGTGTCTTAGTTTCACTTGGATGAAAGTAGATGAATGATTAGGAGTTAGCAGATTTTATTTTATCTTATTTTTTACTGTGGCTTCCTTTTTCTCTCATTTTTCTTTCTCCTAGAATAAGAAAAAATACTCTTTTTTGGCTTAGAAAAATACACATTTAAAAAATAACATGTTTCCACAGACAAGAGCACTGGCCTTTCCCAAGTATACACACACACACACAGTTGCTTGGCTTCCACAGGCTACAGACTCTCCTGAGAACTGCTTTGACTACCACTTTTCTGCCTCTCCTGCTTATTGTGCCTGGTGCAAATGTACCTTTGATGACACATGCTATAGTAAATACTAGCTGGCTCATTTCTGAGGATTTTTTGATAAATTATCCAGGCTCAATATAAACTATGTATAGAAGGCAAACAACAACAGAATGTGTTACACTTTTATTTATACTGGCCACTTCCTACTTTTATCTGTTAACATTTCTCCTTCTGAGATTTTTTTCCCTTCTCTTCTTACTGTGGCCCTTGTGTTGAACTTGGACCATACATCTTTTCCTCCTTTCCTTGTTACTATCTCTGTTCTGTTTTCCCTTCTCCAGTCCACAGCAGCAGTGACAGGGTAGGATGGGTTAGGATGAAGGAAGAGGGTGACAGTGCATCTCAGTACTTTCTACCCCATCACCCAGAGTTGTACCTGTACTGAAGATGGCAATCAATAAGTCTAAAATGTCCCTGCTTTTTTTTTTTTTTTTTTTTTTTTTTTGGCAGCTTATTTCCTCATTATATGGGGCAAAGGTGATGGAATTTAAAGCTGGACTTCATAGCTTGTATTCTGGTTTTGCCACTTGCTAGCCAGGTGACACTGTCTGTAGAACAGAATCTGCCCATGTAGAGATTTATTAGTTTATGGGCCCCTGCTTTAGAAATTATTGTAAGGATGAAAGCCGAAAACCATTGTAAAAGTCTTGGCTTAGTTTGAGGCATTTAGTGAGTGCTTCATAAATGTTATCTGCTGTTGTGCAATTGTCACAGGATCATCACAGCAATCCATAATCTGTTAGACATTTGCTAAACCCTCCACACATCAAGCTAAATTGTACGAATAAAGCTGGGAACAAGACAACACTATTTTCAGGCTCATAGAATGTTAGTCTGTTTTAATTTCTTTTTATTTATATCATAGAAATTCTGCCTACAGCTTTATGTTCCTTCCCCCAACTTAAATTATGAATTAAAAATCTATACAAATATTTCCATGGGAACCTAACTATCTATTGGGAGCAAGATTCTATTGTCCAGTTAAAACTATCAAGATTACGTACAATATCAACAGTAATAAGGGCTTTAAAGACAACTAAAAGAAGATTAGAGAAAGTGGTGGAGTGTGCTGCTTAGACCAACCAAAAAAAAAAAAAAAAGGTTCTCAGAGACCTAAGTGGCAGAGGGAGGAGTGTACTCTACCAGTGTCTTGGGGAAGATTGGCTGGGCAGAGACCAGCAAGGCTACTCACCCTAACTGCACAAACAGAGAACTACAGACATGTGGCAAGACCACAGTAAGGAAATGGGAGATGGGAGATCTGGGAGCTGGAGAAGACAGAGTCTTGCAGATGTCATGGTGACAATAGTGAACTCTTGCATGTATAAGGATCTGATTTGTGAGGATTAGATTGGTGAGATCAAGAGCAAAATTAAAACCATTGAAGATCAGTTGGAAGCCACTGTTTATTATGTTTTACTTATTATGTTTTAAAAAGGTTTCTACTTTCCAAACTAACTTGGTTTTATACTCAGTTTATAAACCAGGAATGTCTATGCTTGTTTGAAGAAATTATTAGTAAGTAAGTAATTAGTAAGAAAGGTAATCTCATTAAACAACTATTCTTTCATCTCTGTCTTTACTGAATAAGTTATATTAGTAAATAGCTAATGGGAACACTCCAACCAATAAATCAATGCTCAGGTTCATCCAGTTTGCTTTTGGTTGTGAGCCTAGCCTTGACTGCTGACCCTCCTCCAGCCTTCCCCTTTCTGTGTAGCTGCTTGTTTAAATGTGGCTTATGTCCCAAGAATTTGTGTTTCCAAAACCACCATGAATAGAAGTGATCTCTTTTCACCTAGAATTGACCTGTCTTCATTCTAAAACTTTTCATACCAATATTTCTTTTTATATTTTATCTTACAGTGTTTTGTCAAGTTACATTGATTTGAAAAAAGATTCTACAGTGACCCTAACTATTCCTCAAAGTGCAGGACAGCATGGATTAACCTCCACACTTCCACGGAAATTCCTAACCCAGCACTCTCCACAGAAGCAGGAAAATGATACAGATGAGACTCAAGGCCAACAGGGTTGTTCAGCCAACAGTGTGGTGGCAGCACAAAACCAGATGGAGTGTGAAGATGAGAAAGAAACTGCATGTAGCCCAGAGACTTCTATTCAAACTGCTGTGGCCTCTTTCGATACACACTTAGTGAATGGAGAAAGAAATGAAACTACTGCAGATTCTGTATCATCCATAACCAATAGCCATGATGAAGATGCCTCTGACAGCAGGACTCCAGGTGCTGACTTAGGGCTGCCCCCAAAAGGAGGAGGGCCAGGAAAGGAAGCTGAGCTACTAGTGAAGGAAAATGGAGTGAGCACCATGGACCTGGATAGGACAGACCAGCACCATGAAATAAAGGTAAAGTCTAAACTGTCTCATTATAGGCTAAGCACTGCCTCATACTGTTTCATAGCACCTGTGAAATACTTGGCTCAGGTTACCCATACCAGCAGATAAACCATTTGCAAGCTCTGGGAGCTCCTGGGTCCTACCCCTTCTCAGAGGTGTTTGCTTTTTTTTTTTTTTTTTTTTTTTTTTTTTTCTTTTTCTCTTGTAGCTTCTTTTGATCATTCTGTTGTGATCTCTAAAAGCATGGTTGTATTGTAGGCAAACCACAACAACCACATTGTTTCCACTTGGGAGGATGATATTCTTTGTGGCACTAGATGTTAGTGTTGTAGACTAACTGCAAGCCTAAATAGGAATATTCAGGAAATACTAGCTGCCACAGCCAGGGTGTTAACACTAGACAAGGGTGAAACTGTAGGAAACTGGACCAGCACCATGAGATGAGAGTGATCTGAGACTTGACCCATCACTACCTCCCTCATGTGTTGCTCTTTCAGTCTGTTTCATAGCATGTGTGTAATAAATAGCTCAGGTTGTTGGGGTGACACAATAAAGCTGAGTTCACATAAAATAGGAAATTTTGCTAGATTTATTTTATACTTTGAAGAAAATCTTTTGTAAAATGAAAAAATATGTTATTGATCAAACAGAACCAGAAAATCTTGAGACTACTTCTAACTCATCAATTAATTCAGAGATATTTTTGTGTGTGACTCTAACCACAGATTGTTTTGTTATTGTTTATGTCAGTATCTTACTCTGGGGATTTAATAGCATGACTTTCATGCTATACTTTTGATTTCTTGTAGCAAAGGTGTCATGTAAGTTTCATTTTGAATTTCTGTAGGTTTTAATATGCTGTGAACTTTTCTGAAAACAAGCTAGAAATTTTTCTTGCTTGATCTTTGTCATTGATTATACTAAACAAAATTAAAACGTTGACAATTGTAGGAAAACCAGCAAATGGAAAAGCCAAAATTTAAGTCTATGTATGATAATGTATGGTTTTATGCCCTAAGATAAGCAGACACTCATAATTGAAGGGCTGACTGGTGGTTATATTCATAACTTTAACTGAAGTGTAATCAACGAAGATTATAATTGTAAGCAAATGGATGAGAGAAGGTGACTCAAGTTTCACAACATTGTCTCAGAAGACAAAGAAACACAGCATAGCAAATGGATTCTCCTTGTGCCCCAGCAGAATAAAACTTGGTGCTTTTGCACTTGAACAATGGTGACAGGAAGAGACAGCCAGAAGTGTGTTGTCTTTCACAGTTGACAGGAAGAGACAGCCAGAAATGTGTTCTTTCACAGTTGGCAGGAAGAGGCAGCCAAAGTGTATTGAGATGATGCCCTCAAGGATTCCCTGTGATGCAGCAAGCGCTGCTGGTGGCTCCTGTGGTTGATTACTGGTTAGTCCTCTTTCAACTTTGTGTAATTTATTGTAGCTGCATATGCTTAGATGAACTTGACAGAGATAGTACAGTTTTCTTTTTTCTTTCTTGAAAATAGATATTTTTCATATACTATATTCTGATTATTTCCCCTCCCATTTCTCCCAAATCATACCTATTTTCCAACCCCACCAAATCCACACCCTTTATTTCTTTTTCTCACTAGAATACAAACAAGTATCTAAAAATAAGATAAGAACATACAGCAGAAGAGGACAAAACAAACCTTTTCTTATTAAGCTAATGAAGCATAGAGTAATGCAAGGCCTTTCCCTGATAATCAGTGGATGGCACATGCTGGGTGGGGTGAGCTGTTGATCCAGGCACCACCCAATATAAGCATGGTGGTAGTGTTACTCTCTCCTTCTCTGAGACTTCCACATTGTTCCTTATTGTGGGAAGCCACAGCCCCAAGGTGAAGCCTGGCTGGATGCCAGGTAGTCCGAGCTTAGCTGTAAACAAGTCTTATTTGTAAGTGCTTGATGGATCTGGTGTGCTTCCTCCTTCTGTGGCCTATCCGGGATTGCCAGGTGGCATGAGCTGATTGTGCAATGAGTGCATATTTAAGGGCTTGCTGGGGCTGGGAGGAGCAGTAACTGATATACAAGGTTCCTGAGTAAACTGCTTGAAGAAGAGTCATGGTCGTGTTTCCTTGCTGGCCAGGGTAGATGCGACACCTTATCTCAAAATGCATGTGTTAATAGTATAGGGATGAGGGATGGTATGTCTTATCAACTATATTTTACCACAATTAGGAATAAAAAAAGTTCTCTTTTCAATTTTTTAGTAGACTATTGTGAAGTAAGCAATTAGGACAAGGAATTGATAGTGCTCCTTCTGGCTTGTGATTGGACAAGTCAGGAAAATTCCTGTGTAGTTAAGTAATATAACTGCATGACCACAACATCCTGTTCCATGATACTATAGGAATTCTATGTAGTTATGTGACCTTCAGATCATTTGACGCTTCTTAAACTTTCTAATGTGATGAACTTTTCAGATATAATGGGATATTTTGGAATTCATGCACACAACTAAAAAATAATTACTCTGTCTATATAAGTGGATAAAGAGACTTATTTAAGAAGAGTTTCAAATAAATTTCATTTATACAAATATTCAACCTAATGGCCCTTTTTTTGAGTGTTGATTTGGAAGTTCTAGTGGGTAGCACAACTACCTGTATATCCTTAAAGGAGCAGCCCTTCTCTGTCTGGAAAGGTAGTCCTTTTAACTGAGTATAAGGCTCCAGGACACCTAAGGAGCAGATGGGAAAAGGAATGCCTGGCTAGGCAGCCAGGTTAACCATATTAACCCTGAGGATCATAGTCACACCAACCTCCTGTTCTCAACAGATGTTTCCCAAATGCCCACCAGCAGTGGGAATATGAAAAACAATGGCATAATTTTTTGTGGAATATTATTTTAGCTGGGCAAAAATGTGTTATATTTGTTTATGCTATAGAATATTACTTTGTGTAAAGGTGTGTTACTTTTGTGTATGCTGCATTTGTTTAACTATGTAAAGATGTGTTGCATTTGTTTCACCTTGCCTGCCTAAGACACCTGATTGAGCTAGTAAAGAGCTGAAGAGCCAATAGCAAGGCAGAGAAAGGATAGGCAGGGCTGGTGGGCAGAGGGGATAACCAGGAGAAATCTAGGTTCAAAAAGGAGGAAGAGCAAGGGGAAAAAAGGAGAGACTGAGGGATACACCCAGGGTAAGAAGCCAGGTAGCCCCAGCCAGCCGACACAAGAAGAGGTGAAAGTAAGATATACAGAAGGAAAAAAAGGAAGAAAGAAGCAAAGGATAGATAAAAAGACACAGGTTAATTGATTAATTTGAAAGAGCTAGCCAGGCCAAGCATTCATAACTAATAATAAATCTCTGTGTCATGATTTGGGAGCGGGCTGGGTGCTAAAAGAAAAGGCCTGGTACAGGCAAATGCAAAGTGTAAATGGAAAAGTTAAATAGTTTGGAAGTTTAATTTTATTAAAATGCACCATTAGTCATCATTATTGGTAATTGAGAACTGACTTAAAAGAGTCCCTCTGATTACAAGCTGTTTTATTGATTTGGGCATATATTTTGAACAAAAAGTGACAACTTTAAATATTTTAATTTTTGCCATGGAAAAGCTAAAGGGTGCCTAACTATTGTACTCTGACAGCATTACAGTCTTCCAATGATGAGACTTCTGTTTTCTGACGGGGTCTTTTCTGTAGCTCAACTTGCTCTTGACAGCCCTCAGACCTCAGCATCTGCCGTGCTAGACTCACAAGCATGCCACAACATATTCAACATAAATGAATGCTAGCAATCTGCAATATAGCCATACACCTCTAAGTAAATATCTTTGAAACATCAAAACTAATAAATAAAAATAAAGTTTAAATCATAAGCATTTTGTTATACATTTAGTCACTAGGTGATACTTTGAGGAAACACTCTGAATAACTTAGAGAAAAGACAAACATAATATATTTATCTTAGAAAATCCACCCTGTAAAGTTTACCTTGCACATGTGGAATTATAGAAAGATTTTTGTTTATGTGACTTTGTAGATGGCTGATACCCATTGTAGTGTATGTACTTAAGAAATGGTAACCATTTTTTTATTAAACTCCTAAAATATACTAAACACATAGCTTTTGTCTCATTGCTGAGTGTGTTAATTTAGTTTAAGAACTATGGAAACTAAACTTCACTCCAGACAGGAACGACAACACAGGCCTTTGTGATAATCTTGCACACATTGGGCTGAATAAGCTGCCTCCTCTTCCCCATAACTGAGAATAACAGCATGTTCCTTACCACAGTAGCCCTCTAGCAGATGCCAGCCTTCTACTCCACTGTCGTTATGATCCCACTTATTTAATGCTATAAGGATGGGGAGGTAGCAGCTCACTATCTGGAAGGGACTCTGTTAGTTACTTTTCTCATAACTGTGACAAGGTATCTGACCAAAACAACCTAAGGAAAGGAAGGTTTGTTTGGACCACAGTATGAAGGCCCAATCTAGTCTGGGAAGCATGGAAGCAGGAAGCTGGCCTCAGTGCACCTGTAACCAGGAAGTATGGACACAGGAAGCTGACCACAGTGCACCTGTAAGCAGGAAGCATGGACACAGGAAGCTGACCACAGTGCACCTGTAAGCAGGAAGCATGGACACAGGAAGCTGACCACAGTGTACCTGTAAGCAGGAAGCATGGACACAGGAAGCTGACCACAGTGCACCTGTAAGCAGGAAGCATGGACACAGGAACTGGCCTCAGTGTACCTGTAACCAGGAAGTAGATGAACAATGTCATCTCACTGCTTTCTCCTTTTTCATTTAATCTGGGAGCTCAGCCATTGGGACAGTGCCATTAATATTCAGGGTGGTAGTTCTCACTTCAGTCAAAACTTCTAAAAACATATTCATAGACACAGTCAGAGATGTATTTCCTTGGGATCCTAAATTCAGATAAGCTGACAATCAAGTTTAAATATCATCCTAGCATTAGTCAATTTGACAACCAAACGTATTACTTTAAATCACCCTTAACCCTAA